TCTGATTCGGGTCGCGACCAATTCAGGTCGCGACCAGAGTCACGGAACGAATTAAGTTTGTGAACCAAGGTACCACTGTATCTCCCTTGATGAGCTTTTTGGGTGTTTTCAGAAGGTGTGAAGGGAAAGATACAGTACTGCTTAAAAGTTTGCGAAACCTTTTGAACGTTCAATATTTCTACATAAGAAATATAAGAGCTGTAAGAGATATAAGAGAAAGACATTAAAATGAAGCCTTGAAGATTATACCCAATAATTATATAATTATAATTAATAATTATACCCAATACCCAATTCTTATACATAATGAGAAGCAGATAAATGAATAAATGAAAAGGTGCTACATGCCATTATACACAAGACAAAGCCATATGGGGCAATGGTATGAGTTAGTTTAAGCCAATTTCCTATGTCCAATAAATGTGATCCTAATCAGGGGGTGATCTTTTGTTTTTTCTTCTTTTTTAACATATATAAATATTAATATAGTGGAAATTTTGGCACTAAGCTCAACAATTTATAAATCTTTTTATATCATGAAAACAAGTCATTCATATTTGGTATCTTTTACTAATGTTATATTGAGCATTAATTGTGTAACTTCAGTAATTATCTCTTCATTCATAGATAGTATCTTTTTTGAGGATACACCTTTGTTTCAAATATTTATTTTATTTTAAATAAAAATGAAAGGATAAAAATAGCCCTGTTTGGTGGACTCACATATAACTGCAGACAGAAGATTAAATCAGATTGCCCTTTTGAATATGATGCAAGAGTGCACATAACCTCTATTGAACAGGACCAATAGGCCAAATTTTCTGAAGCTATTCTCCTAATTACTTCATAAAGCAAGCAAAATGCATATGAGAAAACATAATTACTGAACATGAAACTGTTCCATAGTTGAGTGTCTAGACTGCTTATTGTATTACTTAATACCAGCCGAAGCTCCAGCAATTAAGAGAGATAAGAAAGCTTTGCCAATTTATTCAGTTTCAAATGGCTTGCTCTCAGACTACACACTAAAAAATGGGCTCTGTTTCTTGTCATCCTTTTCAGGAGTTTGAAAACAAGCACTATGATTCATATGATCCAAATATCCCAAGCAGTCATCTCTGACTTTCTGATTATAGCTCTTAAAAATCTATACATACCTTCCGCCAAACTTATCTTTCATACATTGTTTAAGAGTATGAATAGCTTATTCTTCTGAGGGGAGCAATTATATTATGTTTGCAGAGTCAGTGTGCTCCTCTATCACACGGTGTATGCTATAATTTTAGAACTCCCAACAGGACTTCATAAAGATTTCTTTATAAACAATTCATTGTAACTCTTTCTTCAAAACAAAAAAACGTCAGTTAGCTGGCAAAGAGGCTTCTAAAACCAGCAATTTTCCAGTAATATGTTGCATTGGTTTCACAATGAGAGAAGGAAGATTTCTAAATTCTCAATTATTATTATTATTACTTTAAACACATACACACATACAAAGCACATACACTGAAGAATAAAAAATGCTTGAACATAATTTACCTAGTGACATCTCAATCCTTTAACTCCCCAATGCCCAGCCCATAATGAATATTGCCAAGTGCACTTCAATGTGGCCACCATGTCACATTCTGACTTGGACCTATAGGATTGTGTTATATTCTTATACATATAAAGACCTAGGAGACCCTCCAGGGTGGTAGCATGTACTCGCCAGTGGGAGAAGAAATCACAATCCAAGGACTTCAGATTTAAGCCCTTCTGGGTCGCTGCCTAACTTTTCATACATTCTGTCCCATTTGAGTTAATGAAAAGAAACAGCAAGATAAGATGTAGCTGCTTCAGGAAAGGAACGAAGTGAAATAATTTCTGCTGTTATTATAGAAGAGAAAATAATATTTAAAATTTTCTCATATTCAATAATATTATGAGTGTTTTTAGGAAGAGGGATTTAAACAAAACAGAACAAAGAACTTATGGGAGGTAGCTCACTCCTTATTGCAAGAGTTTCTTAAAATATAAGCACATCAATCCTTTTTTCAAATTCCTTGTATCAAACTAAAAACTGATTACTTCTCTTTTTCCAACTTTTTTTATTCATAAACAAATAGATAAATATAAGGTGACATGAAAAATATATTCTATTAATTGGCACTGAAAATACCTAGATATATTTGTTTAATTTACATACATTCAATTTTCATACATTCTGTCCCATTTGAGTTAATGTCCCATTTCAACATACCCACTAGTGCACAATTCAAGAATGCTAAGGTTAAGTCTGAAGAGAATCCTTCATATTATAGTATATTGTTTATTTATTTGCATAATTAGTATTCCATTACTTCTTGCAACTCTAGGTTGCAGGGGTATCTGCAGGAAGAGGGAGAGTTTAAAAAAGTCAAGATGACATGATTGAAGCTCCATATTTTTTTATATGCGTCAACATGCAATGCATGTAACAAAGAGGAAGGGCTTCAAGTACATGGTTGTGGCCACCATCTTGCCTCTTTTGACTCCTCCCCTTGCAGACGGCCTTTCTAGGTTGCTTAAAATATATGAAGCTAAACATGTCTATAAAATTTCCATAAAAATAATCCATAACAAATAAAACCTTAAATACGATTAATAAAAATTATTACTACCAGTAGGTAAGGTCCTTCTGCCCAAATATACTCCCAAACATATTCTCTGCATGTTGGAATCACTTTTAGGGTGAAAAAAGTAAAAATGCAAGTGAATCCCATTAGAATATGTAATAGTCGATTGCTAACTTTATCCTTTATGGAATCTGCCAAGCTTACACATTTTAATTAAAGAAATATTACTTTTCTTCACTTCAGCCCTTTCACTGCTCTCCATATATAGAATTCTGCACCCAAGCATCAGATATAGCTGTCCACCAGCTCCATTTGGGAACGGGGGAGAAGATCCCCCAATATTGCAGCACCTACGTTCATCAGCAAACTGCAAGCAGCAGCACTGAAATTTTCCACTTGTAAGAAGAAAAATAGATATTTTGGCTTTTCACAGAATTAATGCACTTTATTTTATTAAACAAAAATTAAAAAATAATAATGAGGCTAAAAATTTTGCCTGACTTTTTTGATGACATCAGTCCACCTTCTGAACTTTCAGAAACTGTTTTTTGTTTTTGTTTTTGAAATGTATAGTTCCCAGCCAACATTTATAAAAAGAGAAATGCTCTACTGGATTATTCCTGAGATTTCTGAGAAGCCCACAAACAGGAGATAGAGACTATTAGTCTCCTCCTGTTCACATTCTTCAAAAACAGATATTGGAAATTATGTTCTATACTTGAGCTTATATGTAAGCATAGTAGCCTCTAATGACTTTATTCACTATAAATGTTATTCTCTCAGGCTGAAAGTAGACAAAAGTCACAGCAGAAAAAGGGTGTCTATTGTGAACAAGAACAAAAGGAAAAGCTGCTGTACTGCCCTCCAGACATGTTGGACTTCAACTCTCCTCATCCCTAATACATCTGTACTTCAGATGTACAGACATCTGACATGAACAAAAGAACAGTGGAGATATATGGCTTTATCCTGGATTGAATGGAAAAGAAACTGTAAAATTATCACCACGGTGGGGTAAACAACAAACAGTGCAATCAAATAATGTCTATTCAAAAGTATCACAGAATAGAATCACAGAACTGGAAGAAGCCATTTAGACCATTAAGTCCAGTGTACTACTCAGCACAAAAATTCAAAATAGAGACAAATGGCTGTCCAGTCTCTGCCTGAACACATCCAGCAAAGAACAGTGCACCACCTCCCTAGGTAACTGCCCCATCAAACTGTCCTTACTTTTACATTTTCCCTAAAATTTAACTGAACATTGATATCTTGTAATATAAAAGCATTATTTCATGTCTTGCATTCTGGAATGAGAGAACAGTTCTTGACCTTCTGTGTGACACTTCTTCAGGTATTTAAAAATGCTATCATATCCCCTTTCAGACTTTTTTTTTCTGTCAGCTTAGCCCACCTATTTCTTACAATCTCTCCTTTTCATTTCTAGTCTCCACATATATACGGACAATAAATATATGTATAAAAGAATAATATATATATATATATATGTATGTATGTATGTATGTATGTATGTATATATTTATAGAATAAAAAACAATACACATTTTGAAAGAAAAATGTAAGGAAAGGAAAGGAAGGAAAGGAAAGGAAAGGAAAGCAATAGGTAAGCAATAAGTAAGTTAAAAAAGTACAAAGAAAGACAGAGAGAAGGGAAGGGAGTTATAAAGAAACAGCTTCTGATCTTCTAAACAGCAGTTGCAAGTACATTTATATTTTACCCTTTCTAAGATTACAACATAATTTCCTTTTTTCCGCAGTTTACCCTTTCTAATCATCAAACCCATAAATCACAAGTTCATTTTTTTTCTTTTTCTTTCAGCAGAAAGTCCATAAGGTGTTTCCAGTCATTTCTAGTCTCCTGATCATCCTTGTTGCCTTCTTGGCACCTGTCCCAAGAATTGAATTATTCTTGAATTGCACTACCCAGAATTGAACACAGTATTTTATGTGCATCTCACCAAGGCAGAAGAGAGTGGAACAGTTACTCCCTGTGATTTGGAAACTATAATTCTATTGATGCAACCTAAAATATCCATTGAGATTTCCAACAGAATTTAATCCCAAATTATTTATTCATTTTGAATTAGAAGACTGAAAGGGAATTTAAAGAAAGGAATTTACATGATGAATTTACTTACAGGTTTCCATGCCTTCATCATCCTCATCTGCAACAGGTTTATCATATGATTTATCTATTGCTGCCCTGAAACTTTCATTGCATCCTCGCCCTCGGATTATTCGTGGTCGTGGACGATGGAAAGGGATATCACCATTCAATGTCACCTCAGCAACTGCTGTCTGCAAACTTTCTAAAGAGCTGGATTTCTTCAGGCCTAACGAAGGGCCCACATCTCTGGTTGGAGAACCTTAATAGTTTTGTTTTTAAAAAAGTTAATTAGAATTTGCAAGGAGGTCATTTATTCACATCCACAATAGTTCACTGGGAATACTTTCAGTGTTATTCACATTATCTCTATAATCTCTGGGGAATTCTAGGCAGTTCTACAGGTTTAAGCAACGAGTGTCAAGTCATACTCTATTATTTGATAAGGTTAGCAACATCCCACTTTTCAAATTGATGGGAAGGCAAAGTCATCACTATGGTTTCAACCAATTTAATGAGAACAAAATAATTACCAAGCTGTTAAAAAAAAGGGGGAGATTAGAACTCAAATATTAAAGATGTCAGCATTATAATTTGAGTGGCATAGTCAGTTAATTTCTTTTTTTTTTTTAACTCCACAAAACAATCCTATGTAACTACTGGAAATGACGATCATTACAGAGATTGTATTGACCTAAAATTAGCCTGCATTCTTAGAATAACATCTAGGGAAAATTCTGCCTTACTAGCTACTTTCATGAAGTGAATTTTAATAACCTGCGCTTAAATATTACAGTTTTCCCAAGGGCTAGTCTACATAGATTTTTCCCCTAGAATTAATTAACCTGTATCAGTATAGTTATTATACATAAAAACTCATGTTGACAGTTATTATGGACTAAATGGAACTAATGTAAATTTCCTTACCTTGATTATTAACAGAGACTACTACAGCATGATAAAAACTCTAATAATCACAAATAAACACACAGGGAATATAAGCTAATAAATAACACTAATAAACAAAAAATCCTATTAATTAAAATGACAAATATAGATTTTTAAATGGCATGCCTATGAGTAACCATAGTATATGCAATCAACACTATATTACACCAAAAAGATCAGGAATGGGTCTTATAAAACATAACTGTTATATCCTATTGTTATTGAGGGCTTCTTGAGATTCATATTCACTATGAATACATTTAGTAATCAAGCTAAGATGTTCCTCTTTGAAACTGAAGTTAAGACGTTTCTACCTAGCTGAGGTTCTGTTAATACAGGCATCACATGGGCTGATTGCTGCTGACTGACCCCCATTCACAAGCAGTTCAGAAAAGATAAGCTATTAGGATCCTGATTTAACTATCAGAAAGTAGTTTAAAATATGATACAATGTTTGAATACAAAAGAGGCTCTAAGAATCACACTCCCAAAAGTTAGTAACAGTCTAATTGGTGTCTAAACAATCCTGTTGATTTTTTTTTTTAAAAAGCAACATGGAAATTAAGTCTAAAATATAGACCAGAACAGAGCTTTCCTGTTGAGGGAGGTTATTCAGAGCTTTGGAGTGGGGCTCCATCAGTATGCTGCTGACACTCAGCTCTACTACTCCTTGTCATTCAAGTTCAGATAAGTAATTAATATCTTTACATAGTGTTTAAGTTCAATAATGAAGTAGATGAGGGAGAACAAATTGAAATGAAATCCAGACAAAATGGAGGTGTTGGTAATTAGAAAGCTAAACCTGGGGACTAAGATTCAGTTTATACTCCCCAAAAAGAGTAGGTCTACAGTTTGGGAGCATTCCTTGATCCTTACCTATCTCTGGATTTGAAGATGGTAGCTGGGGTGAGGAACACTTTTGCACTATTATGGCTAGAATCAGCTCCAACTCTGAGTTGATCTGATTTGGTGACAGTTATCCATGCCTTGGTTGCATCTCATCCTAATTATTACCCCACAGTTTATGTGGGACTATTCTTGAGAACTGTGTAGAAACTGAAACAAGTGCAAAATGTGTCATCTGGGCTGCTAACCATTAGAAGATACAGGGATCACATGCTGACTATTTTGGAAGATCTGCACTGGTTGTAACCTGCTTATCAAGGACAATTTATGGTACTGCTATTGCCTTTTAAAGTCCAAAAGGGCTTCAGGCCTGGTTACCCAAGGGATCGCCTTTCCCACTTTGAATCTATGTTGCTGTTCAAATTTGTAGGAATCTGCATATTCTTTTGAAGATGTCCCTGTGGACAAAAACTCATGTATCTGTCCCACAGGAAAGGGTCTTTTCCTGCATAGCTTCCACAATGTGGAATGCACTGTTTCAGAATTTGTGTTTCACTTTCACAGCATTTAGAAAATCTGTAACGGTCATTTCTTTCTCTAGGCTTTTAACAGTTAATTAACTTTAATATTAATGTTATATTTCAAATCATTATATTTTACTTTTAATAGGGTTCAGCCTTAAGAATTAGGCTGAACAGAAAGGCAAAATTTGGAAACAGCTGAAGAAAGAGTCTGTAAAGTCATATATCAATATGAAGTCACCGAATTTATACTTCCATGAACTATCCCCTACTTCACAGATCTGCAATATTTTAAGAAGCAGAAAGGCCTGGAGATAAGTAGAGGCAGGGCCAAGTGTGGAATGAGGAAGAAAGGAAAAGGAAGGTTCAGTGATTTCCAGCTGTGTAAATAACCTTTAGGTTAAGCTTGCAAACTATTTATAGTTAAGTCTGTTGTGAGTATAGCATTCTTAAAAAAAAAAAAAAATTGCCCTGAGGAAGTACATATTGTTGGTGGGTGTAGAAAACTATCTGCATTTTACATTTGACGCCATATACATTTGACCCTCAATAAGGATTTTATTAAACTTATTTTAGTATAATCACTTATTGTATTATTTTCTAAGTTCTCTTTGTTGTTCAAATCCAATCTGAGCAATAGCGGAAAGAAGGGAAGGGAAGGAGACTGGATTTGCTCCTGGAATGAATGCTAAGCTTCCTCAGTTTCTGCATCTGAATATCTATAATGCACAACAATCTTTTTAAAATTACTGAATGGTTCCTTTTATAGACAGTAGCTACATTAGGTGCCTATTCATGTTCGCAAGGGAACTGTAGAAGAAACTATTTCCTGCTACCCAGTATGGATCATTGTGAGAAAAATATTTATGTAAGATGGGGAATCCCAAAGGAAAAGTGAGATGGGATATGACCTAATGTTCCCAGAGTACTGTAAAACTAATAATGGATTGCAGAAATGGTTAGAGTATTTATTGAACTTGGGTGGCCATCAAAATAGATGTGGACAGGCTGCAGACAAAGAAAAAAAGAAATAATCCTACATAAGCAGAATATGTACTATGATGATTAAAAAACACTTTTATGTAAACAGCTCATTATTTCACTGGATATTAGCCAGGATGTAATTGTCAGAATTCAGGGTTTGGCTGAAGACCCCTGTGCAGATTTGGCTATGTTAAAGGAATGGTTTCAATAGGTTTTAAATATGGCTTTCTTGTGTTTAGGACCTGATTTTTTTTTCAAATGCAATTCTATGAATATCATGTATGATTTATTCCTTAAAATTATACCTCATGTTCCTTCAGGATCTTGAGACCTATGTATCCCAATTTAATCATCAACATGTCAATCCTGTGATAGACTGGGCTGAGAGGTAATGACTGATCCAAAGTCATTAGTGAGCTGCTCTGGCTGAGGATAAAGCATGGTCTCCCCAGTCCTAGCCCAACACACGTTTCAACATATTATTACTCAATACAAGTCCAACTGAGTTCCCTGCACATAGACTACAGCCAATGATAACCTGAATGAGGTTCCTAGAAAGAGACACTAGGAAATTAATAAGGCCTGAGAAAGCATCAACAATCCACTAGATTGTTTGACAAATCTTTGATGACCCAATACAGCTTGACCCAATATAGCTTGATAAATTAATGTCAGAAAAATTCCTTTATCAAATTCCATTCAAAATTTACAACATATACGTTCACTGTTTTTCTTAATATATTACAGCAAAATGCAACTTTCAGTTACTATTTTTTAGTCATAAGAACCATTGAAATGCTAACACCCTTAAGATTTAATCAGAATGGTTCTCTTGGAAAAGGATTGTCTTTAGGCACAAAATTAAGCTTTGCATAGATAAAAGAGGTGTTTTTGAATTATCCAAGTAATGTTGAAATATCATTCAATATTATTACTGAAGTAACTGGTTACCTGTAAATATGCATAGTATGTATTCTTCTATTTGGTATATGTGGCAATAAGTTAAATGAGGACTGGACCAGAGATGCTAATTTTTTTCCCCTAACAATATAATAAAATGTATTGTAGCCTGGGTTTTCATAGGGAAGAGTTCATTCCAATAGATTCATGAAATATAAGTCCCCCCACCCACATCTATTTCTCTCACTTCCTCCCACTTTGTTATTCAGAAAAACTAAGCCTATCAAGAACAGTTGGATTACATGGAATTACACCCAAAATATTCTTTGGAAATTCAGAGTAGCTAGGTTTTATTGGGGATTCTGGCTATTACTGCCTTTAATCATCCCTAAGTCACAATAGCTAACAGCCTAGGGTGATTGCTGGTATTTTTCTGTAATGTGTGGCTAAACTATTTAGAAATATTTAGCTACTATGGATCTCTATTTGAAATTTTTTGCTTTGTAAGCAACTTCTGGCTACTGGACAGGCATGAACCACACTGACTCATTTTCCATGGAGACATTTCTGGCTAAAACAAAGTTTCATTGTCTCAATATGCATTCTTGTGGCAACCATATTTCTTGCACATTTCCCACACCCTTTAACACATAACATGTGTTAGAAGCCGTGAATAGTAAACCTCAGAAGCTTCATAAATGTTGATTAAAAAAAAACTTTATGAATTTGTTTTAGAAATAATGCATCCTCAGCTTTACTTTTACAATTATCCCCATAGCATGGTAAAATTCCTTTACTGATTAAAAAAACTAAGGTAATACTTCATTAAAGCTACACAGTTGGCTTAAAGATTCATTGGTGATTTCATGACATGGTCCTCTGGGCATGCATGCATGAATATCTATATTTGCACCTATTGTAATGGAAGGCATGTGCGAGGAAGATACTGGAATGGAGGATCAAGGTTATCAGGAGGGAGGGGGAACATTCCTGGAGAGGTTACAGGGCAAGTGCTTCTTCAGCCCGCAGCAGGACCGTGCGAAGATGAAGAAGCTGAGACTAG